CTGCACTGTGTAAAAAAGCATTTTGATCCTGACTTCTCTGATCCTCCCCTTCTTCCAGTGTCCCCCTCTTATCTCCTGATAAGACATATTGTGTGGGAGTCACTCTGCACATGCTCAGTTTGGTGTGTATTGCTAGAGAGGTTTTTCTTTTTGCTTGGGAGAGTGCATGTCATCAGCACAGGGCCAATCAGCACTGTCCAGACAGAGGTCAGGGGTCCTGCATCCTTCTAGAGCAAATTTAAAACTCCTCCTACAAGCTTTAACATGTGCTCAGCTGGACACTGATAGAACTCAAGTCTGCTCTACCTGCTGAGAAAAGGTATTTGGCAGCTTATATACACTAACATAATTGTGTTTCCATGTTCTGTGTACTGTGGAAGAACAGATATAGTGAATGCAGGGTCTGGGATTAGTAACACTTTAAGAAGAGCACTAAGTGTCATTTCTGTCTGCTGCCTCCTTCCTCTGCTATTTGTATAAGTCACTTCTGACAAGTGTGATTCTGTGTAAATTCTGCACTTTCCATGAATGTAGAGAAGAAATGGCTGCAGATGGACAGGTACAACTTATGTAGGAGGATTTGTTTAATCTCTGTGTATCACCTGAGGCCAGTCACTTCACTTGGCATATGTAATGGTTTACAAAAACTTTAAAGTGATATTAAAAAGGCTATATTTTTGTCTTGTTTGTCCATTGCCCCATTTGGCAGCCCCCCCCCCCCCCCAACGCTGTCTGCTTTTCCCTGTTCCAGGTGCAATCTTTACTAGCTGGGTGCTGAGGAAACACCAATGTGTGTGCCCCCAAGCCAGGCTTTGTGCATCCATAGACATATACATACAGCACCTGTAAGCTACACCCCCCCGGGACAGCTGGACTGTATGAGGTGTCAGAAGACTGTCAGTTTGTGAGTGTGTATGTGTGTGTGTGTGTGTTTGTGGGTGGGGGGGGGGTGGAATGGGGGGGCGGCAGAACAGAACAGGTAGTGTATTTTTTGTGTTTGTGTTGTGTATTCCAGGATATGAGAAGAAATCCTGTCTTCATTGTCACTGTGACAATTACCCCTAATGGAAAAAATTATCTTCTATTCCAAACTGTTGTGTTTCTTGCGATCAGAGTGAAAACAAGAGAATAAGACAGTAGTCACCAGAACAAATAGGAGTGTAAAAAAGAGAAAATAACATAGTGGTCACCGGAACAATTAGAGAGCAAAAACGAGAATAAGATAGTGATCACCGGAAGAAATAGAGAGCAAAAAAAAAAAAAAAAAAGGAGGATAAGATAGTGGTCACTGGAACAAACAGAGATGGAAAAAGAGAGAAGATAGTGATCACCTGAAGACATAGAGAACGGAAAAGAGAATAAGATATTGGTCATTAGAAGAAATAGAAAAAAAAAAAGAAGAATACGATGGTGGTCACCATAACAAATAAAGAGTGAGAGTAAAAAAAAAAAAAAAAAAAAGAAGAAAAAGGAGCATAAGATAGTGATCACCAGAAGAAATAGAGAATGGAAAAGAGAATAAGATAATGGTCACTGGAAGAAATGGCAAAAAAATAGAGAATAAGATAGTGGTCACCAGAACAAATAGAGAGCAAAAAAAAAAGAGAAGATAGTGGTCACTGGAACAAACAGATCAAAAAAGAGAGAAACTGAATAGTGATCACCGGAGAAAATAGCAAAAAAAAGAGAGAACAAAATAGCGGTCACCATAAAAAATAGAGAACATAAAGAGAATAAGACAGTGGTCACTGGAAGAAATGGCAAAAAAAAAAGAGAGAGAAAAAGATAGCGGTCACCAGAACAAATAGAATGTGTAAGGGCTCTTCCACACATACTGTGATGACTGGCGGCTTCTCTACACTGGATAAATGCCAGTCACCACTAGGGAACACAGAACAGAATAGTTTTCAATGTGCCTGTTTGCACTGCAAAGCAGTCTGGAGGAGCGGTGCAGCAGTGAAATGCAGATATGTGGCATTTTACCGCAGCACACAGGTAGGCACCGCATGTCACTGTACAGCAGCGCAATGAACCGAGCTGCTGTGCAGAAACATGAAGTGTGAATGGGCCCTCAATGTCCCTAATAGGTATTCAGACAAATATATAAAAGCCCAGCAGGAGTTTTATCCCCATAAGCTGGCCACACACTAGCAGAATTTCAGTCAGAAATTTTCATTTTTCTGATCAGATCGATGTCTGTTTTTGACCATAATAAGAAAACTCAAATGAGCAGGATGGAAACCTTCTAGACCCAAAACGTTTTAGCTTTACAGACATTTCAACTTTCCAACTCACATGAACGCAAACAAAAAACACGCCATGCATTGTAGTGCCACATGCATAGGGCATTCTGTTAATTTCAATGCACAACAAACGCATCAAAGTAGATACCGCACCTGAGCTTCATGCAAAGAAAGTACATCTGTGCTGCCGCGTTTGGGGCACCATTAGCATTGACTGGCACCCCAAGCGTGACGTGTTTTTTTTTTTTTTTGCACATTTCCTATATTGCGCATGTTTACAAAACACTATAGTGTGAAGGCAGCCTCAATGACGGCGTAATAAAAGTCAGAAAATGTGTGAAAGAAGCTCATTAAAAGACGTCAAATATTTACATCCTCCTAGTATAACAAGCTGTAGACTTCTATAAACATTTTCCCTTTCTACTTAATAAAATATTTTCATGGGAAGTACACAAAGACCGAAATGTGCATCTGGCCGCCTCTGCACTCCGCTGGATATTGGCAAACTGTGCCTCCAACTACACATTAATGTAGAAATTCTATTACACAGAGTCTCCAACGGAGAGGACTCAGGAAATGTCATAGAACACAATATTAGAGGGATTCCTGCTAATCTCCACTGCTATGCTTCAGGTAGAATTGGCTGCAGGAGGTGTAAGTGTCCCCCTAAATCTCTACATTTTATTGGGGTCACAGCAAGGCTAGTCTTTGGTCTTTGACACAGGGCTGGTCTTTGTGACATCATGATAAATACACCATACCTGCACTCCTACCTCACGGAGCCCCACTGTACACGTGTGCTGGAAGATATCCCATTATGCAGGAGTCTCCAAACTTTTTAAACAGAGGGCCATTTTACTGTCCTTCAGACTTAAGGATGGCCAGACTGTGGCCAGTGAGTGTAGAAAAACATCCCAGACCAACCTTAGTGAGAGTAAACATGGCCAAAGGGTTGGTGGTCAGTGGACGGAATAGTGCCCCATCATTGGTATCAGTGGGAGGAATAGTGCCCCATCATTGGTATCAGTGGGGGGAATAGTGCCCCATCATTGGTATCAGTGGGGGGAATAGTGCCCCATCATTGGTATCAGTGGGGGGAATAGTGCCCCATCATTGGTATCAGTGGCAGGAATAGTGCCCCATCATTGGTATCAGTGGCAGGGAATAGTGCCCCATCATTGGTATCAGTGGGGGAATAGTGCCCCATCATTGGTATCAGTGGGAGGAATAGTGCCCCATCATTGGTGTCAGTGGGGGAATAGTGTCCCATCATTGGTATCAGTGGGAGGAATAGTGCCCCATCATTGGTATCAGTGGGAGGAATAGTGCCCCATCATTGGTGTCAGTGGGAGGAATAGTGCCCCATCATTGGTATCAGTGGGAGGAATAGTGCCCCATCATTGGTATCAGTGGGGGGAATAGTACCCCCATCATTGGTATTAGTGGCAGGAATAGTGCCCCATCATTGAATAATGGCAGGGATAGTGCATCATTGGTATCAGTGGGGGGAATAGTACCCCATCATTGGTATCAGTGGGGGAATAGTGCCCATCATTGGTATCAGTGGGAGGAATAGTGCTCCCATCATTGGTATCAGTGGGGGGAATAGTGCCCCATCATTGGTATCAGTGGGAGGAATAGTGCCCCATCATTGGTATCAGTGGGGGGAATAGTGCCCCATCATTGGTATCAGTGGGAGGAATAATGTCCCATCATTGGTATCAGTGGGAGGAATAGTGCCCATCACTGGTATCCGTGGGGGGAATAGTACCCCATCATTGGTATCAGTGGGGGGAATAGTGCCCCATCATTGGTATCAGTGGGAGGAATAGTGCCCCATCATTGGTATCAGTGGGAGGAATAGTGCCCCATCATTGGTATCAGTGGGAGGAATAGTGCCCCATCATTGGTATCATTGGGAGGAATAGTGTCAGTAGTGGGAGGAATAGTGCCCCATCATTGGTATCAGTGGGAGGAATAGTGCCCCATCATTGGTGTCAGTGGGAGGAATAGTGCCCCATCATTGGTATCAGTGGGAGGAATAGTGTCCCATCATTGGTATCAGTGGGAGGAATAGTGCCCCATCATTGGTATCAGTGGGAGGAATAGTGCCCCATCATTGGTGTCAGTGGGAGGAATAGTGCCCCATCATTGGTATCAGTGGGAGGAATAGTGCCCCATCATTGGTATCAGTGGGAGGAATAGTGCCCCATCATTGGTATTCACTGATGGAGTCCCGTACTTGTAGGCTACAATGCAGTGTTGCCGGGGGTGGTGGTTAGAAAGGAGCCAGTGCAGCGTTGACATGGCAATGGGAAGCTCCAGAGGAACCCATAAGGTAACATCGACTGAAGCATGAAGCAAAGATAATTCAGAAATCTGAGCAGCCTGGTAGTATTTAGCTACATTAGGAACCCCCCAGGCCCCCCTGTAGTCTATGCACAAAAAGATAGCCAGCATTATTCAACCCAATTCCTCTGATCCCAGGTCATCCTGGACCCACCCCCCAGTCTGTGACTGGATAGCGAAGGGATAAGCAGCACACTAATTAGCTCATCTGTAACTCTGATTTTTCCTCCCATCAGCATCTTTTCTGTCAGCTCATGAACTGATTGGCTCCATATGCTGCTTCTTCTTTGCACATTCCAGCCCTGCTGTACAGGGACTGCAACAGGCTGGTATCTGGTCATATTCTAGTACTGGCACGGCTTGCAGTAGAAAAATATAAAGTGGTCTACAGGGGCGGACTGACAACTCATGGGGCCCCCGGGCAATAGGGGATCATGGGGCCCCTGTGTCCTTTCCCAAACTCAAAAAAGCGTATGAAAAAGGTACCAGCGGCATCTCATGGGGCCCCTTACTGACCCCGGGCCCTCGGGCAGTGCCAGAGTTTCCAAATGGTCAGTCCGCCCCTGGTGGTGTATTAATAGGTACAGGCTCCCTTATATGATCAGATATTGGCCTAGAGTCTATTTTCTGCCATTTGGATACAGTGTGGAAGAGAAGGAAGTGTGGAAGAGAAGAAGTGTGGAAGAGAAAAGTGTGGAAGAGAAAAAGTGTGGAAGAGAAGGAAGTGTGGAAGAGAAGGAAGTGTGGAAGAGAAAAAGTGTGGAAGAGAAGGAAAGTGTGGAAGAGAAGGAAAGTGTGGAAGAGAAGGAAGTGTGGAAGAGAAAAGTGTGGAAGAGAAGGAAGTGTGGAAGAGAAGGAAGTGTGGAAGAGAAGGAAGTGTGGAGAGAAGGAGTGTGGAAGAGAAGGAAGTGTGGAAGAGAAGGAGTGTGGAAGAGAGGAAGTGTGGAAGAGAAGAAGTGTGGAAGAGAAGGAAGTGTGGAAGAGAAGGAAGTGTGGAAGAGAAGGAAGTGTGGAAGAGAAGAAGAAGTGTGGAAGAGAGGAAGTGTGGAAGAGAGGAAGTGAGGAAGAGAAGGAGTGTGGAAGAGAAGGAAGTGTGGAAGAGAAGGAAGTGTGGAAGAGAAGGAAGTGTGGAAGAGAAGGAGTGTGGAAGAGAAGGAAGTGTGGAAGAGAAGGAGTGTGGAAGAGAAGGAAGTGTGGAAGAGAAGGAGTGTGGAAGAGAAGGAGTGTGGAAGAGAGGAGTGTGGAAGAGAAGGAAGTGTGGAAGAGAAGGAAGTGTGGAAGAGAAGGAAGTGTGGAAGAGAAGGAAGTGTGGAAGAGAAGGAGTGTGGAAGAGAAGGAGTGTGGAAGAGAAGGAAGTGTGGAAGAGAGGAAGTGTGGAAGAGAGGAAGTGTGGAAGAGAAGGAAGTGTGGAAGAGAAGAGTGTGGAAGAGAGGAAGTGTGGAAGAGAAGGAGTGTGGAAGAGAGGAAGTGTGGAAGAGAAGGAGTGTGGAAGAGAGGAAGTGTGGAAGAGAAGGAGTGTGGAAGAGAGGAAGTGTGGAAGAGAAGGAAGTGTGGAAGAGAGGAAGTGTGGAAGAGAGAAGAAGTGTGGAAGAGAGGAAGTGTGGAAGAGAAGGAGTGTGGAAGAGAGGAAGTGTGGAAGAGAAGAAGTGTGGAAGAGAGGAAGTGTGGAAGAGAAGGAAGTGTGGAAGAGAGGAGTGTGGAAGAGAAGGAGTGTGGAAGAGAAGGAAGTGTGGAAGAGAAGGAAGTGTGGAAGAGAAGAAGTGTGGAAGAGAAGGAAGTGTGGAAGAGAAGAGTGTGGAAGAGAGAGAAGAAGTGTGGAAGAGAAGGAGTGTGGAAGAGAAGGAGTGTGGAAGAGAAGAAGTGTGGAAGAGAAGAAGTGTGGAAGAGAAGGAAGTGTGGAAGAGAAGGAAGTGTGGAAGAGAAGAAGTATGGAAGAGAAGAAGTGTGGAAGAGAAGAAGTGTGGAAGCCCACCGATCAGCAAAATTGTCACGCTGACCTCGTGGGAAAGGTTAGAGACATAAACCACCTCAAGCGGACCACACACATTACAATCTTCTTTAAATCTACCAAAACTAGGTGACAGAAGGACAGTCCTACACAATAAACTTCACTTGTATCCAGTCAGGCAGGTCCTGCTCTACATAGCTGGGCGTAGATTTTAATGAAATTGTACAGAGTGTATAGTGAATATTGGCTCCTATAGGTGGCCATACACTATACAATATGATTGTACAATCTCCTTTAGATCTACTATCAACTACATAGTGCAATGGCCTACGTGATTCAAATTCAATTTTTTTTTTTGTTTTTTCCCATTATTCATAGTTTTGGTATGTCCAGCTTAATGAGGAAAAAGAAAAAAACCACACAGGTATTTATCTCACCATACACTCTTCCTGTTCAATTACACACATACATACGCACCCTCTTAGTTTTTTGAAATAAACATCTGATAAATACTAATACATGACAAAGGATTCCCAGATCACTATGGCTTACCTAATGTGACACTACAGCAGCCCTTTGTCTCCTTGACCCCACCTAACAGCGCAGTCTGATATGGGATGACCACTGCTGGGATGAGTCGTTAGTTTTGTAAACCAGGCACATTTTTTGGAATGTGACAGCACAGGGCAGTCAATTGGGTTGCCTTATGAGCAACAAACACGTCAAAGTAGCCGCTGCACTTTTTTTTGTGGCAGTGAGCCTGGCGCATCTCATAGCTGCATTTGGGGGTGTTATTAGGAAATAATGGAATCACAAGTGCAGTGCGTGATTTCGGGAACAAGAGCAGAAACATGCATTTCTCTGCACGTTCCCGGAATGCGCAGGTGTGAATGGGGCCTTAAAGAAGAATTCCGGGTATGGATATTTTATACATAGTTACATTGACCCAGCCTGGTCCAATGTATGTAGATATATCTATCTCGTATCATACCTGGCCGATGTCCCTGGAAGCTGGAAATCACCGACACGGACATCTCCACTTGCTTCCAGGTCCCATGCTGAGCTGCTGCTGCTTACTGAACACAGGAGGTCGGTCACTCAGGGAATGTATTGCACTTTCTGAATGAATGCAAAGCATTCTCTGACTGGGAGAGGGGGGTCAGTGGCATCATTATTTATTTATTTCAGGTACTTATATAGTGCCATCAATTTACGCAGCACTTTACATATATATTGTACATTCACATCAGTCCCTATCCCTCAAGGGGCGTACAATCTAAGGTCCCTAATTTACATTCATACATACATACACATACTAGGGCCAATTTAAACAGGATCCAATTCACCTACCAGCATGTCTTTGGGGTGTGGGAGGAAACTGGAGTACCCGGAGGAAACCCACGCAGGCACAGAGAGAACATGGAAACTCCAGGCAGGTGGTGCCGTGGCTGGGATATCATAATCCCCACCTCGTCCAAACAGAGAATGCTTTGCATTCATTCAGAAAATGCAATACATTCCCTGAGTGGAAGACCTCCTGCGTTCATTATGCAGCAGAACAGTCACGCCACTTCCAAAGGCATCGGCCAGATATATTATATAGTAATAAAAGAATATATGAATAGCTACATTGGTCCAAGCTGGATCAATATAATGATGTAAAACATATTCATACCTGGAACTCTTCTTTAACTCATAAAAAGATTATAAAAAGGGATAGTCTGAAACCCCGATAAGAGGATTAGAGCTCCCACTGCTGGCTCAAAAGGAGAATGCAGATTAATATACCAGATTTCATATTTACCTGAATAAATTACTATATAAATAATTCTTTAGCCCTGATTTACAGTAAAAAAAATCCCTACCACTAGTCTCCAAAGTTGTCAGGTGGCTCTGAACCCCTGGTGCTGGGTAAGCATACACCATCCTCCTGCCCAACACCAGAGTGCTGTCATACCTTTGGGTTATAAAACACCTTCATCACACTGACAGGTTCACTTTAATGAGGCTTCTGCCTCCACTTCCTAAAATGTAACGGGAGGGATGACCCCCCTGTAGGCACTACATGAATACAATGTTGCCTGTGTGCAGCAAAGTGAGGAGGACAAGATTATACTAGAAAAAATGAAACAAAACTGACATTTTCCTGATACATTCCATACCTCCCGTCATTGACCCTGCTGATGCTGGCGGATCTTGTGCCAATGCATTTGGCAGCAGATCGACGAGAGGAGAAACATTTCCCATCTCTTCCCCAGCAATGACTTCATGACAAATCAGAAATGTTGTACCAAGGGAGAACACGGAGCTGGTGTGGATGATCTGAAACGCTCTCCGATGCCTGTCAGCCATACACTAGTGTAATGGAAGCAATGAATAGCGCTCACCTGGAAAGATATTCAGCATATTTGGGGCATCTCCTCTTTGACATACGCATAGTTAACTGTAATGACTTGAAGTGTTCCTTTGACCAGTGTGCCATTTCATGGGGCGTTCCAGAGTTCCAGGTACTACTACACGCAGCAAGCCGTGATACAGGGGATTCCAGAGATCCAGGTACTACTACACTCAGCAAGCCGTAATACAGGGGATTCCAGATATTCAGGTACTACTACACTCAGCAAGCCGTGATACAGGGGATTCCAGAGATCCAGGTACTACTACACTCAGCAAGCCGTTATACAGGGGATTCCAGAGATTCAGGTACTACTACACTCAGCAAGCCGCCATTATACAGGGAATTCCAGAGATTCCAGGTACTACTACACTCAGCAAGCCGTGATAAAGGGGATTCCAGATTTCCAGGTACTACTACACTCAGCAAGCCGTGATAAAGGGGATTCCAGAGATCCAGGTACTACTACACTCAGTGTGCCATGTCATGGGGCATTCCTGGTGTCCACGTACTACTGCACCCAGCAAGCCATGCTATGGGTCATTCCAGATGCTAATGTACTACACCCTGCATGCCATGCCACAGAGCATTTCACCTGTCCAGGTACTACTGCATCCAGCAAGCCATGTCATGGGGCATTCCCGGTGTCCAGACTACTACATCCAGAGTGCCACACCTTGGGGCATTCCCAGTATACAGGTACTACTGCACCCAGCATACCACCACACAGTGCTATTCCAGCTGCCCAGGTACTACGGTCATACCATGTCATGGGGCCATGTCATGGGACATTCCAGTATCCAAGTACTCCACCCAGCATAGTATGGGACATTCCAGTATCCCACTGCACCCAGCATACCATGTAATGGGGCATTCCAGCTGCTGAGGTACTACTGCACCCAGCAAACCATGTCAAGGGGCATTCCAGTGTCCAAGTACTACTGCACTCAGCATACCATGTCATGGGGCATTCCAGCTGCCCAGACACTACCCAGCAAGCCATGGTGTGGAGCATTTTGGGACTTGTGGTCCCTGTGCAGTTGATACATTTGGCAAGTGTTACACCCAAGTAAGAAGAAGGGGAGTGAGCCCAGACCTGTGCCAGCTTATGGACTTAGTGATCCCTGTGCTGCCCACCATACACCCCAGTACCCCCAGTGCACACACCTCCCATTCATAGA